AATATTGAGAGGTTGTGGGGTTCTGCTAAATGGGGCAATAAAAAGCGTCGTGGAACTAACAGAAATTTTCTTGAATCATATTTGGCAGAGTTTATGTGGAGAACACGTCTCGGAAAACAAGACGCATTTGAAACTATCCTCAAAGATATTTCTGAATTCTGGCCTCCATTATAACTAAAATATTCATATATTTTTACATTTTTATACATATTTTATATTTTATACATTTTTAATTTACATTTTATGCTATACATTTATATATTTAAAACAAAATAACATTATAACATTAAAATAAAATAATATTATACATTGAAATATTTTTTTTTTTTTATGGAGGGGCGATAACAAACAAGAGTGGCGGGGCGTTAAATTTTATAAGGTGTACTGGCGGGGCGATAACAAACAAGTACCAAAAACTGTATTGGTTAGTCTATTATTTATTATTATTCTGAGTTCAAAGTTGCGTAATTTCTTTAATGTATACTGTATAGGTATATAATTACATTATTATTATTATTATTATTATTATTATTATTATTATTCATGCTTTTCTTCTTTTGATATCAAAGTGCTATTTAATTTCCTACTGTTATTAAATATAATTTGTATTTTATAGGCTTTAGCTTATTATATATAGTAGTTGACACTGGATCCTTAATTTAAGCTTTTTGTTTCTATAATTTTTTTTTTATAATTCAATTAACAAATTATTGATATTTTATATTAAATCATTGAGGACTATTGGAAAAAAAGAAATTTGTCATTAGGTTTTAATAATTTAGGGCAGGCGTTAAACGATTTTGACGGGAGGGTGAGATCAAGTATTTTCCGACAGAAATATAATTTATGCAGACTGTCAAAATGTCGACCCGTAATTTCTTAAAACGAACTATGTGAAGTACCTATAAAAATTTCTGGTTTTTCTGTATAATAGGTAAGGTGCTCTAAAATAATTAAAATTTGATAAATATTATACCAAAAACATTTAAAAAAAATTGAACTAAGTAAAAAATTTTGAACAGTTCTATGCATATAAATTATAATCTGTTATGCTTCTAATTGTTACTTGTATATCATACAGCCGCTGCCGTACAGGTACAGGATTGTATACGGTATTATATACGTATAGTAATAGGCAGTATTTTGATTTCTAAATTAGTAAACTCTTAAATTGTCAAGTGCGTATAGTCGAAGTCAGTGGGAATAAGGAAAACAAGGAGTTCTACTTATCCACCTATATTTTACATTTTTATAACATAGTAAACTATTAACAGTGTCATCTTCTGTAATTACCGATTATCAAAATACTGCTGACTGCCGAGGACCCGTTCTCGCTTTTATTATTAAAATTATAACCTAAGAAAATCTAGGGAAACAGTTTTTAACAAGTCGTATAATTTCTGACAGCTCTCTGTTATTAAGAAAATGCCAACTGATAGTTACGAAATATTCAATGTGGGTGGGGGGGGGGGGGGGTGACGATCCACCATACTCCCATTGCCGCCGGGCCCTGGGTTTTAAGACGTATAACCAAATTGAAGAATCGATGGATCTAAAATCACCGGAACACTGCCGGGAACGAGACTGGACGAGTGTGATAAAACTATACTAACCTAAATCCTAATAGATATAGGTAGATAATATTATTATTGTAAGCGAATCACCGGTACCTAACCACATTATTCATTTTCTATTTGTGTAAATTAAATTAATTTTCATCGATTACGCATATAATACAGTTTAATATTTTCTAAAGCGCTATAACCGGTAATAGGATTTTTTTCATTCGACCAAAGTGTACCTATATATATATAGTAACGACATCGTGTGGGTACATAAATAATATTATGCCGACGATAAATTGACGATTTCACAAGATCTGAAATGAAATTAATATCGTGACACACATCATATCCACATATAAAGTTTCACAAATACCACGTGGTACACATAATATTCATAATTCACATAGACGTGCATATATTATTCTGCATCAATGTTGCAAAATCACGATTTGATCGAACTGCAAAACGCATTATTAGATTTTTGTGATGAACGTTTATTTATTTATTTTTTCAATTTCGAGTTGTCGAAGCGGAGGTTGGTTAAGCGAAAATCTAACGCCGACAATATTATTATTATATATTGGCCATATAGCACGTCATATAAAAAAACATATCCCTCGATATTCTCCCCGGTATTGGCATCCGGACACATTCCTCGTCACCGTGTTATTGGTTTGTCGGTGGTTTGCAGGGGGGTGAAGTCTAACGGTTTTTGAAGCGTCGACTTTTTATCGCCTTATTTTAACGACTTTTATGAAACGGACACCTACAGCTTCGATGCACCTCCATGATTGTTGTAATTGTGCACATCAAATGGCCGGACATTATTAGGCGATAAAATAATACAAAATAATAATATTATGTTCGAATGAATGTTGAAGTGCAAAAATATAATAATATAATTGACTTTATAACATACGAAAACTCGTCCCAATGTTAATGTTTGGGAATCAGAACATGGTAGTATGTTTATGTATATTATTATATTATATTGAGTCCAACATCAATGTTCATAAGTAGGCAGGTACTTGCCATTAAGAACCTAACATAATATTGCTAGGTTTTGTTCAGTTGGATATTTGTTCACTATAGTGAATATATATGGTTTTAAATTAAAGGGCATTCAAAAAAATATGATAAAATACGGTTCATTCGATATATTACACATGTATACCTAATATTACAATCAACCAGGTAGGTTTCAAAATAATAAAGAAATTACTATTCGATTGGAGCAAATAACTTCCTAAATTGGTTGTCATTTTTGGGTACCTAATATATTTGAATGAATAAAAATTGTTCTATTCTGATTCCCCGATGACTTGAATTAATGGTTATTAAATTATTTACAATGATCATAGTTTACATTTATTTTTAAATCAATGCAATCTTAGGCAAATTAAACTCTTATTTTTTATGATTATGCTATTACTTATTGTATCTATAAAACAAATTAAGTAAATCGTTGGACATTTTTTTTAAATGATACACCTGAATGTAGTTCAGTTGTTATTCATTTCAAGAAATTAAAATTTACTCCAACATTAAAATAGGTAGGCATTTATATAAAATCTAAATGACAAAATAGTATTTTTAGAATGATATTTTTCATAACTTACATAATTAAATACCTATAAATAATGTGTCTGTACTTAGTACAGATTACTTTTTAAGCACTGATCACAGGTAAGTTGTCTTATTTTTTGTAACTGCAACTTGCGATGAAGCTTATTGTACAGATATGTATGTAGTTCTTTAAAAATAGCTTTTATCTAATTTTGACTAATGGTCTAAATTTTTTTTTAAATCTGTCATAGTTTCTTAGATTTATCTAATATACGCGACTATCCTAAATTATTATTGTGTCAACACTCACCATATAATATTAAGCTTACAATTTGAAATCTTTAGAACGTATATTATGTATAGTGTAATATATTAATATGCTCTATGCATAATTCACATGATATTTGTATTAATGTTGTTTTTTTACATCTACTCTGATATAGTGATATATTATATGTATCTATATATATTTTATATTCATATAGAGATAAAAAATAAATACAATAGATAACGTAGAAATATACATACGTAATGTAGAAACAAAAACAGGTACACATAATAACATAAGACATTATTTTGAAGGTAGTTATTTATTATAAACTTCACATACATTATTTATTTAAACTCGAAAACAAAATATTTTAAAACGTTTTATTTGAACACGTCATTTATGTACCAGTAATTCGATTTTCTTAGCAATAAAAATAATAGTTTAAAATACTATAGGTAGGTACCTATACATATATTATGGATATTCAGTATTTTCACCGTGTAAAATAATATCGCCTATTTATTTTGAAAAAATATTTAGACGGTATATATAAGCAATGTTTGAAAGGTTGCCTTATACTTTATACCACATACAATTATGTAGGAGAGCGATCTGTCGATATTTAGAGAGAGCGACGACGACACGGCGCAGCCGAACTGCAACATATAATAATAATAATAATAATAGCAATATCAATAACTTACGACGGTGTATTGTTTCGTGTGGTGGACTCATTTCGGACCATGAATGAACGTGTTTTAAGGGCGGTGACGAGACCGTGAGGCGTATATGGGGTGGGGGAAAAATTGTAGGGCGCACCAGAATAACAACGCCGTCATATATTTTATCGACTTACGAGACACGATAAAAATGAGAAAACAGTATCAGTGGGCAAATTGGGAGCGTTAGTGCAACGTGTGTGTATATATATATATAACATGATAAGTTGACTGTATACAATACACTCCGTATTATAAACATATATACATATATATAAATTATAAGCATACATATATATATATATATATATATATATAATATACATAACTATGGTGGTGATATCGTGGCCGGCGCTGGTCGCTTACAACCCGGCGTGGGGGTGTGGCGCTTACGGGGTATGACTCACGGCCCGCATTGGCCGTTAAAGCACGTGACATCGGAGCACCGTTCATTCATCGCAGACCTTAACGTACACCCACTCGCAACCCCGTGGAGTACGGCGGCCGTCACTATAAAAATCTGCACCCGAAGCTCGCGACTCGAACTCTTCCGATCGCACGGTCAGTCGGCGCTCGTGGTTGTACCTATAGAAGACAACAGTAGCCTACGACTAACGATTTACATTATATTATACATTTATCCGATTTGCTTTTCTTCAGTTGCTACACACAAAGGTAGGTTTTCATCGAACACCAGCGACAATATTATTATTGTTATAATAATATATTGTGATGTAATAGCGTTTATCATTGTATAATATTATGACCGCTCAAGCCATATAGATCATCGAACCAAACGACCCTGGTTTACGATCTATAATTTTGTTCAACACCCTGTGCACTTAATTTTTGAATTTGTGTTTTGTTCTCTTCTAGACGATGGCAGGTAAATTTTCCGTGTTGTTTCTCGTCGGATTCGTGGCCGCTGTGGTCGTCGCCCCGTACATGATGGCAGAGGCGAGATACCTACCCACCCGGGGAAATGACGACCGGTTGACCAGATTGAAAGAACTGTTGACGGATGTAAGTAGCTATATGTATTTTGGAGTAAAAAAAAAGCACGGAGAACACATCCCATTATTAAACGTTCGATTTGAATCGGTTCGCCAAAAAAAGTTATGTATACCCAAAATATGTAATGGCTTTTCGTAACTGATATAGTTGTATAGAGTATAATATTAATAACGGAATAGGTATACAAATTCAAGCTTTAAAAATAATGACCTTATTGAATTATTTATCAACAAATTTTTTAAAATATGGTTTATTCGATCGTTTAAAAACATTATTTTACGAACAAACTAGTACGAATTAACACCTATTTAAAAACAAAGTAGGTATGATTTTATAAAACAAACTTATAAAAAAATATTATAAAGAATTTTATATTGAATATTTTTTATTAATACAACTACAATTATTTAATTGGTTGTAAAAAAAATGTATACTGAAAAATGAACTGATAAATGTTTTAGATTTAGGTATGAAAATTGATTTGTTATTTAACATTTTTAATTATTGATGGTTTTTGTAAAATATTTTTAAACTAATTCAAAAACAATATTATATTAGATAATATTTCATGTAAAAATGATTTAACATAATATCGTAACAATAGTACAAAACATTTAACAATATTAATTTAATTTGAATAAAGATTAAAATTATTTGAAAAAAAAAATTTCCGATAGAAAACGAAATATTAGTATAAAACAGTAAAAACTGTTTCAATTAATAACTTTTTAATTCAATTCAACCGTTTTGTCATTTCATAAAAACCATCAAATCAATGCATTTTATGATAATTCATATTTATCGCATGTTCCTATTTTATGAAATTATTTAATCCAAATAACGAATTTGACATATTTTATACAATACAAAAATTGACAACTAAGTTTTGGGAAATTCAAAGCAATATATTTTTTTTTCAATAACGTACATTTTACATTAATTACAGTTTTTAAATTTTTTTTTATTATTTTTTTATAGGTACCTATATAATAATATATTATACGTAGTACTCACATAATATTTGCAAATGAATATTAGTATACTAGTATAATGTAATCTATCTATTATTGAAATGTATGTAAACGAGAAGCTTATTTAATACTAAAAAATAATCTTTAAGTAATTAAAGAAAAAAAATTATTTTTGGTGAATTTTAACTGTGTTAATTCCCTTTATGTTTTATTTTTTTTTTCTATAATCCCTAACCAATTGAAAAAAAATATGATGAATTGTTGCCATCACAATATTTTCAAATCTGCAAAGTGCAAAGTGTTAAAATATATATAATGTATAATACAGTGTATATATTATACATCATAACATAAGACGTGACGAACTGTTGATTTATCAGCATATTTTTACCATTTTGAAAAATGGTTATATTTAATGTATCCATACATGCAATGTGGACTTGCATTGTGTTTTAACAATGCCTTTGTAAAAATGCTAAAAAATAATCGTTGATGACTTAATTACTGTTGGGTGAATTTCTTTTTTTTTCATTTTTTCATCTTTTTGAATTTCTGTATTATTATTTTTTTTTTACTAATTAGTTTCCATGCAAATTAGTCTAACAGGTAGATATAATACTAATTGTATTTATTTACAAAAAGGTTGATGCACACATATAAATATGTAATATTATTATATACGTATAATATGTTGATCCTTTATTAAGATACTATGGGAAGAGATAATATATAATATTATTCGGTAAAAAATTGTGTTCCGAGAACAAAAACCAAAATTTAATGACAAAACCAGAATACCATAGAATTTTATATTTCAAAAAATAGTACCTATTTTGTAAGCGAAATTACACTTGTATATAATAAGTTGCATAAATACATCGTGTAAGTAAATCACAATAGTTACCTACGTCCTACGTGTTTGGTACCTATATATTATGGTCGGTGAATTATAATTTTCATACAAAAATAAAATGAGCTTAATTTGAAGATAATGCTTTGTAAATTATTAGGTACGGACATATTATTTCATCTTTAATACTTATTATCATAATATATTAGTAATTAATATTATGATTTCTGATTGATAAATGATAATCTAGGTAATGTGATATTTATGTTGCATTTTTGATTTTTTTAAGGGGCAATCATATAATTTATTCATTTTGTTATCAGCTGACGGACAGTATAGTTAACAGCGTGTAGTTATGCTAATTGAGAAGTCAAATGCTCAGATATAATTCAATAACTTTTTTTGCTTAAAAGATCCTGATTTTTCCAGAATACTAAATTTAAAATAAAGTTCCATTTATAAACTTTAATATATTATAATATAATCAAGCTCCACTCAGATCATTTCCTGACTGCAATTATTTATGTGCACCACAATGAACGAATCGGAACGTGAGTCTGACCACTAATCTCTGTGCACAGTAGGTTTTTTTTTGACACTACAATTCGAACATAATCTGTCGAATCGAATGGTATACTTTTTACTTGGATTTTTCATAAACAATGCGAATATATTTATAGAACAGCCTCCGAGGGATCAAAATCGTTAATAGTGACTGATAATAGTTTACAATTTAAACATCCAGTCGAGATTTTTTAAGTATGTCCCACGAAACAAGAAAAACTCGTCGTATATGATAATATTATAATAAACAAATATATATAATTACTAATAAATTATCACCTATATATGTTAGAGAAAAAATGATCGGCAGTTGTCTAAACTGAGCAATTTCAAGAAAATAAAATCGTTTAAATTTGACACACTTTAATATTAACACATAATACCTCACACTTTTCTATAGATCATGTATAAATTGAAAAATACCACTGTAGTAGGTCCCTACTCTTTCAATCTAATTTCTTTTGAATAAAAATAATAATTTTAATAATTTTTAAAGTATATATGGGATGAATATAAGTCGGAAAGTTTGATTCTTTGAATATAATTTAATAACCAATACAATTTTATATATCAGAATAATAAACGCTTACATTTGTAAAAAAAAAATAAATAGTTTACCTAATATACATATATTTTTTTTTGAGAACATGTAAGAAATAAAAACTCGTGACTTGTTATACAACAGTTTTAAATAAGGAATTAATTTAATTATGCACCTAGAGTCCTACACTACAAAAGAGTTATAGGTTTGTTCTTATAAATAAAATTAATTTTTACAACAGCAGTTATTTAACTCAATTAAAATGTCTGTACGGTACCTACGGCAATTATGGTAGGTACCTACGCTAAGGTTCGACGAGCTCGACATAATATTTTCTCTCAAGCCTCTTGTTAGATTTGAATATGATTTTAAATTTCTTTTGTTTTTTTACTGATAATGAGTATTACACCTTTTTTTATAAATCAACATTTGAGTACCTACTTAACTTATATCTGTCAAAAACAACCTTTTTTAATATGCGTGCTTTGAAGTTTGAATTATTATACTGAACCGATGAAAAACAAATGGTATTTCAGTTACATATTTCTGTTTGGAATCCCAACAAAAGTCTTATATGATAACTGAAATAAACTGATTAACTGAAATAATCTATTGAACCGTACTAGACATTATATTGAAGTTAATAATCATTTAAGTTAAAGATACATTTATGACACAGTATTAAGCCTACACACAAATGTAGTAATATTTTCCAATAAAGCTATTATAAAATGCATTTTTATTATTTTCTACTATATTATAGTATATTAAACTTAATATTATATAGAAAATTTATGACTATGACCCGTAACTCTAAGTTGAGTAATGTACCAAATAATTTCAATTTAAATCTTGCATCGTACTGACACGAATTTAAGAGCTTATAACTATTGTTATAGGAAATAGTTAATAACATATGCTTGAAAAAGCTGAATAAATTCTTTGAATATTAATAACAAAGCATAATACAGTGGTAGATTTATCTATTTTTACTTCCTTACAACTGGAACTTACTATTGCATATTGGTCGAAAGATTTTAAACGTTTTTCTTATAATAGATAAACTATTTAGGTACATAATATTCTAATATTGCTGTGTTCCGTGACTTCAGTGCAATAGTAAGAGTTCAGACTCACTATTTATAAGTTCAAAATAACTTTAAATCAATGGAAGTTCATACTATAACTATAGGCTATAGTACTATAATACTTAAGACTATACACATATGAACTATACAATTTACTAAAAATACGTCCGTATATTATATATGTTAATAATTCACTGTCATTATAGGACTGATTTAAAAAGAACAAATATGGGATATTTAATTATTAGAAAAATTCATCAAATAAGTTCACATCACGTTAATGGTCTTTATTTATCATACCGTATACATATCACGTTTTTGAAACCATCGCACAAAATAATAATTATCTTAACATAGAAATGTACATTGACTCCAGACGGCAGACAAACTCATATGTCTCCCATAATATAGGTAGCCAAGTTATTCAATAAATATTAAATCATATTGCATTGTAAGAAACATAAATTGATAAATATATATTTTAATAATTTTTTAGTAGTAACATACCTATTCTAAAAAAAATCGTGATTCTATAATAAAATGTACTATTAACGTGAAAGTTGTATTAATTATATTTTTATACAATTAATTAGATACCTAAAAGGAATTGGGTACTCCACTTTGAGTAAGCACTCATATAATTAGACTTTGGACTAACATAAACGATATCCGGGTAAAAATCGCATTGTAAAGTTACATGTGGGAAAACCATTCGTAATGAGTCAACAATAATTACACGATTAAAAAAATATTTAATTCTTTTTATTAGCGGAAATGTACAACAAACTCTCCTCGGTGAGAACAGCTGGTTTTTGTATTTTCGAGACAACAGTAGGCACTAAATATTAATAAAACACCATAGGTACTTTGATGTACTGTAACTTTTGAAAGTAAACTCATGAATGTATTGATAATCAGATTATTGAACTGTGGTACCTATCCAGTAAAATTAACATATTAAGATATGCATATTGTATAAGTATAGTATAAAGGAATATAAACTATGTATTCGGTTAGAAAATAGTGTTGCCTATTAGGGACCTTAACAGTTTGGATTCCATTCATATTGGTTCCCGGTTAGGATAATAACAAATATAAATTAAATACCTACGTAGAACTTGGAC